AAGCATTACATCATTAATTATTTAATTAACCAAAAAAATTATATCTTTATTAGTAACAAATTAATTCTTAAACAAAACTATTAAATATAAACTAGGCAAACGTGCATTGCACGTTACTTGCACCTAGTATGTATATATGTGTCTGATCAATAAAAATGTTTTAGGAGTTAACAACTCCCCATTTTCCACATTAAAACACAATTATGTCAAATTACTTGGAGAAAATAAGTTTTTAGTTAATGGACATTCGTGGAGATATGATACGATTCATATAAACTAAATGTTACTTGTTTGACCCTAAAATCCCCTAATATGTGAATAATGCGGAATTAAACTTACCAATTAAAGCAACAAATCACTTTTTAATTGTTCTAAATGTTTATTCAATTTTATCCTATGTTGAATTATCACAATAGTAATTAAAGCAGTAAAAAAAAAACGCAAGATTTATTAACGGAGAAAAACCTTAATTGAGTAAAAATTTCGGGACCAAGCCAGTATTTTCTATTATAAACAATACGAATTTAAATATGATCCAGTTTAGAAAACTCACTAAACTCCCTGATCTAATTCCTATAATCTCCAAAATCTGCTGGAATGTACTTTACTCACACATACTCTCGATCTTCTGGAATTGTTTCTCTCATGTAGATCACTAAGAATATCTTGTTCTTGTACTCTTTGTGTACTTCTAGTCCAACTTCTCTCAAATTTCAGCAATCTCTGAAAGTTATTAAGAAAGTACATCAAGATTATATCTAGGAAGTAGGTATTTTGGATTATTTGACTTTGATTTTTTTCCTACTTATGGTTGATTGATCTTAAGAATCAAAATTTTAATCTCAATGTTTGGATATGTTCTTGGATCTTGAATTGATGTTATGATGATGTAAAATAATGATCAACCACCCACCAAAAACATATTGGGCATTGAGTATTTATAATAAGAGGTATTTGAGTAGTATAGGATATATAGAATTCTTGAAAATTGCAAACTAGGGTTTCACGTATAACACCGTCGCTTGAACCCCAGACTAGCGACATGTGTGTCGCTCAAGCGATAGTCAAGCGACGATGATTCTGTTTTTTCCCCTCAAGTTTCAGCTAGGTGATGGCTAACCTAAATCCGACGACTTTTTCTTCATATTCCATACTCAAACCCAAAAAACTTCTAGTTCATCTATACAACTCCCAAAAAATCCTTGATTTTTACGACTATTTTATAATAATCATTTTCTTTTATAATAATCATTTTGTTTAAAAATTGCCAATACAACATAAATCATTCATTTTCCTCCATTTTTTTAAAATGAAAAACGAATTTGTCATCGGTTTTCTCTCAAAAATCTTTTTTTAGTTAAGTTATGCACAAAGGAATGAAAGGGTATGAAGGATGAAAGTTTCTACACCATTTTTTCCTTTATATTTCAAGAAAATCAAGATAAATGGTATTAATTATTTATGCTCTTTGTTCATGATGCATATGCTTGTGGTATTAGAATTCTTAAAGATACGAACTGAGAGATTTATGTATGGTCATGATCGATTTCTATGATCTTAAGAGATCATTCAGAACCATGACTTTGTCGGTATTCATCTATGTGGGATGTTAAATCTTTTCGGTTACTTTGTATATACTAGTCATAGTTGAAAGTGTGTTGCACGTTATTTTAAAATGTTTTACGGTGCTATAAAAATAATATTGTGGATGTGGAAATATATAAAATAATTAATATAAATTATTTATGTGGAATGAACTTTTGATTCAAATGAAATAAAAACTAGTTTGTAAACAACAATTTAAAAATTGAGGAAGTCAATTAGAATAGTCCTTCTATTTACGTTTTTTTTATCTAAAATGAACATTCAACGAATACCATCATTTCTTCATATTCGCTTAATATGCACTAAATACATCAATTAAAATTATTTTTTATACATATGCATTATATTCCCCCATTTACCTTCTTTGTATCTTAACATTCATTGAATAAATTAAATAGAAGAAAACTCTAAAAAATATTCATCTTTTGTTCCAATTTTTTTTTAATTTATTAAATTTATTATACAATCAAGTGGAATGAATCTGTCAAATGTACACTGATCATAACTAAATAATTGACAAAATAATTCATGATAATATTGTTTAAATAATTAAATGAATCAAATACATATTGAAAAATGAAAAGGTAATTAATCTATCAAATATGATTACATAAATTAAATGAATATTAAAATAATAAAGATAATAAATGTGTCCAATGTACATTCCTCACAACTAAATAGTTGACAAAATAATTAATGTAATATTATTCAAGTGGTTTAAATGATTATTAAATTAAATACATATTTGAAAAACAAATAGTAGGATATTAATCAAATACATAAACAAAAAAGGTCATGAATCTGTCAAATATGGTTAAATAAATTAAATATATATTGAAAAATAAAAAGTAATGTAATGGATGTGTCAAATGTACATTCATCATAATTAAGTAGTTGACAAAATAATTAATAATAA